GTTTTTTACATTTGGAATTGAACCAATTGTCTTTTATTATGAATGCTGATTTGTGGAATTACAACTTTTTTCATAAGTTTTTATATTAAAATAACTAGTTGTGTATATGCGCAATGTGTTAACGATTTTGAAGTTTCTTTGGTTTTATTAGAGAAAATTTAATGATGATATAAGTTACACTTGGTCTTTATATATTTAATACAATTTAAATAAATAAGAGTTATGGATCCAATTACAGTCCATCGATGAAAAAAAGTTATATGACAATTTAAAATCCAATATATTTAAAATTCATCATATTTAAACGACTTCACAAATGTGTTCGATTTACACCAAGAGCAAAGAATCAAGGGATCGAGAGCGAGACCCAGAGTTCTAGAGCAATTGACTGCGAGATGAATGAGAGAACTTTTAATAACTTATGCTGAATATCAGTTTGAATCTCACCATGGGGGATGAGAAGAAGACATTGAGGTATGAGAGGGTGAAGACATGAGTGAAAAATGTCAAAAGTATCTTGGGAACATGAAAAAAAGGGTAATAATGCGCATTCGTAACATACACTATATGTTATTTTAATTGTAGAATAAGATATTTTAGAACTGAATACATAAAGTAATAGTACTTAATACATTATGAGTTGTTTTTAAGACTTTTAAAACGTTGTAAATAAATGTATAATACTTTGTGTATTATTATTTTTTTTAAACTTTTAATAAATCTGACTTATAAAATAGCATAAATATATACTGATTTGTGGAATTACAGCTTTTGTCATAAGTTTTTATATTAAAATGATTGACGGTAAAAGTATGAATTTACAAAATAAAGAATAATTTTATTTAATTAAGTATCAAATTAAATAATAATATTTATTTTAATGTTCCAAGTGTTGGAATTCACATGCAATTATTTTAATTTTGGATGCTACCTCAATCAATATATATATATATATATATATATATAATGTATATAATTTTAAAAATAATAAAGATTTTGTATGGTATATGTAAAAACAAGATCGGAATGGTTGGTCAAATGTAGGATTCCCATGTGATCCAAAAACACATTGGCCACAAATTGTTGGTTTGTGAGTTCGTGTCCTTTACTTGTTCAAACCAAACTTTGCCACTGATTAAATCAATCAAAATATATGATTTAAATAAAAAGTTCATTTATATTGACAATGTAAAGCAATCTAATTTGTTTGATTAAAGTTATGATTTTTAAGGACAAGACATTAATGCAATATTTTTATTAAGATAATTGTTTATTTCAAAGTTTACATCAAACATAAATCAACGTTTGCTTTTGGAGATTTAACAATTAAATATCAATCAATTTTGAAATGATACCGACAAATAATAAAAAAATAAATTATATTCTTTTGTTCATATGTTTTGTTGAAAATTTTGATTTTCGTTCCTAGTCTTCATTTATTACTTTGATAGTTATTATTGTTGCATTTTGTTTTATTTTTCGTCCCTGATTCTAACTATTATTAAAAAAACCCCGTTAAATGAAGGCTCCTTTAGTCTTTTTCTTTCTTTTTGTCTATTATTTTTCTTTCATTGCAATCAATATCCCACGTCCCCACGCACGCCCTCTATCATCTCTCAACGACCACTGCTATCAATTTCCACTCTCCCCATTGAAGCCCGGAAACAAAACTCGTTAAACCTTTCAAAACCTACAAAATCAAAATGTGAAAATCATTTTTGACGCGGATGCTAGTATCTCTTACTCAACTTCCCCCATCATGACTGACTTGCTCGTTTGTCATCACGTCCCTCCCCCCCCCCCCCCCTTTTCTTTTGCTCGAACTCCATAGGTAAGTTGCACCAAGCTATTACAAATTTTTTAAGTTGTAGGCTTCAATGGAGGCATTTGTGAAAAAAGGGCTTTTACAGAGGAAAGTTTCTTTAAAGAGATGGAGAAAATTTTGAAAGAGTAGAGTCGGTTGGAGAATGGTACTTTCTTTGCATCACCATTTCTATTTCCATATTTTCCAACCCCACGTTACCTTATTTTTCCGACCTCGTTTGCATCACGTAGCCAGTTATATACAAAAACACAATTAAATGTGGGTTAATTGTGAGATGTGCCTTTAAGCTTCAAGAGGGCTCTCTTTGAGCTTCGAGATCAGAGGTGTTGGTTCAAGTTTTCAATCAATTATGTTCCATCTTTTTCCATTGATTTTCATTTTTCCCTCATATGAGTTATCCAACAAACCACGGGGACGAAGAAGAGGTCGTTGTCGGAGACGGTGGGTCATGTGGACGGAATCGATTGGACAGACTCTGTGTATTTATATGTATATATAATGCATTGATATAAATAATATATGATATAATTGTTGGTCCCAGCCGGATCTACAAGAGTTATAGGTTATCGGTTTATAGGGGGGTGAATACAAACACAGACACTTTCACTTTTAAAAATTATATATTGATAAAGAAGATCAATACAAATTTTACAGATTGTTTACGGAAGAGATATGGTAAAAAACCTATCTAAATAATCTAAGGTACACACAATTATAAATAATAAAAAGAAAAGATTTGCTGCAAAAAATAAAGATAAGAATCAAAGTGCTCTTCACTTGTTCAAAGTGGTTCTTTCTCTTAAACAAAGAGTAGAGAGAGAAGTAACTTCTTAGATAAGTTAGTAGTGATGATGATAATAATTAAGAGGAGAGCACTCAGCTATTTATACTCATTGCATTAAATGTAATTCAGAAGGTACAAAGCACGTGTCAAGCTTTAGGAGGAAAGGTTGTCTTTTTGCTATAGTAAACAATCCTTTTGGTTGTATATGAGCAGTCATCTTTCCATAAAGTAGGTAAGCACTATAGAGTCAATGGAGTGGCTCCGTACTGTACTATACTCTAGAAAAGGTATGGGTTTGTCCATTGTGTGAGGGAGGACAAGATAAAAATAATCACGCTTGGTAAGGTTCATTTGATCATTGAATATTGGGATGATGCTGAAAGGTCTCTTCAGTATTTGCTGAAACTTGAGCAGTCTTCACACATATATGGATGAACTTATAATCACTGAATGCCGCTTCAAATCACGAACTTGCTATAATCTTCAGCTTCTGTCTTCGACATTGTTGAAAGATCTGTGGTATGAGTTTTATCTTCTTTAAGTATAACGGTCTCTGAAGGATTTATAATACATGTTCAACGATCTCTGAATAGACTCAGTGATGATCGTTGAAACTGAATAACATAAATACTATACATAGTAAGGTAAGAGGGATCATCATCAAATCAATGAGAGAAAGAATCAACAATCTCTCTTATTTGATGATGACAAAGCAACATAAAGAAAATTGCCTAAGTTATAATAATAAGGAAAAGGTACAAGTAAAATACATGTCCCTTTTAATTATTTTGGGATCTTTTTCATTGATATAGTTTACTGATGTAAGTTTACTTACGTTTGTAAAGGATTACAAGTTGAAGAGAAACAAACACAAATGTGATAGCAGAAACTGAAAGCTTATTCATTGACTGAAAGTTGTCAGTAAATGAAAGAGAATTGGAACTCATAGATACTTGTCCCTATTACTCTTTCCAGGGATCTTTTTCAGTAACACTAAAGATATCATTGTATTTCATCATTGGAAAAATTACAAGTGTTACATCAGTGATTTCTAGACTTATTATATATAGATTGTACACTTAAAGAAAAGAAAGGAAAACAAGATTACAAGATAGAAAGTTAACTATTCTAAGTCGCTGAAGTTTATATACCCTGGTACATATTCTCTAAGCTTATTACTTCGTAGTAACTCCTTTCAGCTCCTGCAGTTCATCACTTCACCAGGTAGGTCATTGTCCAACCAAGATCGGAGATACTCAAGGTGGTCTATTGGACACAGGTGGAACTCAGATGCTCGCTAGGAGTTGTATTCTCCGTCAAAGTCGATGAAAATTAATTCATACTCAAGTTTCATATGCATAGTGTTAGGTATGTAAGGACCCTTTGATGGAAGTGTCTAGTTCATCTTTGAGGTATCTAGCTTATTTTGATTCTTTAGGATTTCCTCTAAGGAGAACTTTTTTTCATGTTCATTCTTATGATAAGGTCCATCATTAGGATCTGAAAGGTTTCTTCTTCTTGTGGCAGCTTCTCAGGCACTAAAGGGAAAACAATAAACTTTGACACGTTCTTGAAGAGTTCATTCAGGATATCTTTGATTATTAGCTGGTGCTTAGACTTTGAACGTTGAATGGCTTGTCGAATCTCTAGCCATTCATCATAGCTGTACTGCCGAAAATATGAAGGATACTCGTTGACAGCCTCAAGGTTGTACCATCCTTCATTCTTCCATTGATAGTGACATTTGAAATCTTGTGGGGACTTATTCTTTACTCAAATCTTCCTTCATACCATCTCTGGTTGCGGCCTTTTAGTGTCAGTGCTCTCTGATGTTCACGTTCAGCTTGGGAGAGCAGTTGAGCCTGAGCCTTGACCGGTTTTTTCTTCTTCAGCTTCCCTTTGGCCAGAGCTTTAATGGCTGGAGAGTTTGCCAGCTTTAAGATGTCTTCCATCTATTGTCATTTTACACGTAGCTTTTTTTAGGCCTTGAGGGCTTCCTTATGTGCACCATCTATGAGGAAGTCAAACTCACCACAACTAGAGTAGAAGAGGGATTGTTTACTCCAATTTGGTTGAGTTGACTCCTCAGCTGAGACTCATTCGTTGGTCAGAGAGAGCTCCGAATGTTGGAATAGAAAGAATCCTTTCATCTAGAGGACCAAGGGGGATCAAAGAAGAATTTAGGAGAAGGAAGGCTTCAGTTTCAGATGAGAAAGGGAAACAATTGGAGCTCTAAGCGATCTTGGTGAGATCTATCTTCTTGAAGATGACAGATAGATTGTCCTCTTCATCGACACCTTTGTTTTTGCTGGAGGTATGTTGGCTCCCTTTAGATTTCTCCCGCTGGGATGTAGATTCCTTTACGGAGACACCCTATTGAGCTGGTGTCGGTCATGAGTGATACTGAATTGTGAAGTTGTCGTCATCATTGTTGTCTTCATCATCATCATCACTAAGGTCCTGTTCAGCGTCAGGGAGAGGAAGATCTTCATCTGCATCATATTCCTCATCACCAACACTTAATGCAGAGGTGATGGGAAGATCTTCGTTAATAGTTAGAGATATAACGACATCATCATCATCCTCAGCGTTAGTATCAGCTTTAGCTTCGTTAAATGTGATGGCATCCTCATATTGAGGGATCACAGCTAGAGGGTCAGCATCAACCTCAGTGGCAACAACAGTTTTAGCTTTAGTTTCCTCGGTAATTTGTTCAGGCTGGTCTTTCTCCCTTCTTTGTCATCTACAAGAGAATAGGCGAGATCATTAAGACACTGCAAGAGGTCTTTGGTGTAAATCTTGAGGTTTGAAAGAGCCTCGGCTTTTGCAACAAATTAAACTCGGTCACTCGATGAAGAGTTTGGAGGTCAGAATCAGTAAACGAAGGTTCAAGGACTGGGGTCGGACAATAGAGAAGCGTCAAAATCTACCGTAGGAGCTCGCCATGCCTAGCGAGCTGGACTTGCACTTCATCGGCCTTGCCATTTAAAGCATTGATGGCCTCAATGTTGGTGCCTACTTCAATTTGAACTGTGTTTAGCAGTTACTTTACTTCACACACCTCATCTTCGACATTAGAGATGTCATGGGTGAGGTCTTCCTTGGTGGGCATGTCTTGGTGGACTTGGTCAATTTTGTCCAAGACTGTCTCCACGACAGGGAGGAGAAGGTTGACGTCCTCAGCCATGTCATGGATATCCGTCTCCATGGCTGTGGGCTTTGATGCAGGAGGACATAAAATGAAGAAAAACTTGAGCATTAAAAAGGCTCTAAATTGGAAGAAATGAAAGGGTAGGGTTAAGATGGAGTACTTAAAGGGTCCTCAGTGCCATCCAAAGGATTGGCACTAGTGGACTCAAAATCGCTTTTGAGAGTATAGGAGTCCTATGTCTGAGGGACCTTGAGAGGAGCCACTTCAGGTCCTTTAATGGGTGCTTTATCATCCATGGGGAGTCACTAGCACGTGTAGTAGATACTAAGGGAAAGGGATAAATGAGAATGACTGAGAAAAGAAGTGTGTGTTCAGTAGTGGCGATACTAATATTCTCATGTTCAGTGATTTGGGTCACTGGGTGGTTGAGTGACTTGCCACGTGTACGACAATGTCTGAGGAAGAGCTAGGAGGAGGTAGCAGAGAATGCGCCTCGGGGATAAGGCTTGTTTCAATGACTGAAACCTATTGAGAGGTAACAGTCAACAACTTGGATGACCCCTGTTTGGCTTTCTTGGCCCTCAAAGAAGGACCACGATGGGCTTGAGATTGTGTCCTCTTCGAGGATAAGGTTGTGGTGGTCGGGATAGACTAAGGGGGTTTGCCTTACTCATAACCACCAGAGAAGGCAAAGAAATAGAAGAAGAAGGTAGGGAGGGAAAGCCATTAGCAATAGCCAACACTAGCACAAAAAGGCCAACATCTATAGGTTTAGAGTTGTGGTCCAAGATACAAGACCCAAGCCTACAGATGGGCATATTCCCTTTGGTGTGGTACTTGTTGCCGAAGATCTTGGTGAACACCATGCATAATAACCTAGTGTATGGCACCACCTTCTTGTGTTGGCGCTTGTTCAACTTCAGCGCCAGATATTCAAAGATCAACTCAACGTAGTTGAACTTCAGCTAGCGGATGACAAAAATTCTGATGTTGAGAGTAACTCGAGAGGCCTGATCTTGGATACCTGTCTTGCCTCCCATGCATTGATGAAATAGGAGAACAAGTATTGCCACACCACAAACATCTAGTTCTTCTCGATTTTGGACAGCGACTTGAGGGGCTTGCTGGAGTCCTTCTTCGTTGGCCAATTGTAGCCAATATCATCAAGAGTTTTGATGATGTCTTCATTGGAGGGTTCACTGGTGTAGGGAGTCTTCTTGGGGAGGTGGAGAGCGGTCCTGATAGTGGGGACGTCGAAGCTGATGGTCAACTTGTTAAAAGTAAAGGAGATCTTCTTCACGAGGTTGCTAGACTTGTCATTCTCTTGCTTCACTTCAACAATGAACCAAAAATGTTGAAGGAATTCTTTGACCATGATTGGTTCAAAGGTAAGGCATGGCCAATGATAGAGTTCTTCAAAAAATTGGCTGCATCCATGAAGTGAGGTTTGTTACTAGGGATGTCCAAGAGTCCAACGTGGTTATTCCGTTTGAAGGAAACTTCATCAATAGCAAAGTTAACGTTCTTTGTTAGAAAGGCACTCTATGTTTATGTTTTGAAAGAAAAACTTCTTCTGAAAAGTCCAGAATTATATTAGGGTCTTTCAAGTAGATTTATTGGACTAGAATGATATGACCCTTGACTTTCCTAAGAAACAGGGTCTGGTCAATCTTTCTATGGACAAGTTTCTCAAAGATGAGAAATGAGGAGAGGCTATCATACAAGGCAAGAGGGGTCTGTTTTAACCCATAAAGAGATTTATCCAATCTATAGACATGATTTGGATACTTGGGGTGAAGAAATACTAGAGGTTGTTCAACATAAACTTCCTCATGAAGTTTTCCATTTCGAAAAGCGCTCTTTACATCAATTTGAAAGACTTTGAAGTCTCTATGGCTAGTATAAGCAAGAAAGAGTCAAATAGTTTCGAGTCTAGCCACTGTGCGAAGGTTTCATCATAGTCTATCCCTTCTTCTTATCTATATCCCTGAGCAACAATACGATCCTTGTTTCGGGTTACAATTCCTTATTCATCTAACTTATAGTGATAAACCCACTTGGTGTCTATCACAATTTTGTCAGATGAACGTGGGACTAGGTACCAGACTTGGTTCTTATCAAACTCAATGAGTGTCTCTTGTATAGCATTGACCCAACTAGGGTCAGTGATAGCCTCATTGATCTTCTTGGGCTCAACTAAAGAAAGAAAGTTGACAAAGAGATGAATGTTACTTAGACCACATCGTGTCCGAATACCTGCACTTGGATCACCAAGAATTTGATGGATTGTGATGGTAGAGGATTACCTTCTGAGATTGGAAGCTCAGACATAAAAGATGAGGCATCAGCCACAAGTTCTTCAACAACAGGTTAGATTGCTAAAGGAGCCTCAGTGAGCGATTCAACAATTGATAGAGGTTCAGAAACTGAAGGAGTTTCAGCGACTGAAGGGTCAGTGTTTGAAGTAGAAGGGGGTAAGTGACCAATGGGAATATCTTCAATTGATAAAGAGGCTTCAACTTCGTTACTAGTCATATTTGGAATGACAAATGGATCATAATCAGCTTCTGGAAGGTCAGCGCTAGGTTGATTACTGAGGGAAGCTTCAGGTTATCCATAATGAGATATCATCCATTTGTCTAACTTTTCATCATCTTCAAAGATAGGTTTAGATTCATCAATGGTGACATGGATAAATTCCTCTATTGTCTGTCGTCTTTTTTTGAATACTCTGAAGGCTTTGGATATGAGTGTTAGGATCAAGCGCTTACCCACTACACCAAAAGCAATTGCCTTGGTGAAGGCGCAACCTTATTTCCTTTATAGCGTAGCAGCCAGTGCCACGTTTCGATTTAGGAAGAT